GTTTTCATATCTTGGCTATTGAGAATAATGCTGCAATGAACATGAGACGGGATATCTCTTTGAGTTGGTGATTTCACTTTCTTTGGATATGTACCCAGAAGCAAGATTGCTGGATTACATGGTAGTTATACTTTTAATTCCTCAAGGAATCTCCATACAATTTTCCATAGTGGCTGTACCAGCTTACACTCCCACCAAAAGAGCACAAGGGTTCCCTTTCTGAGTGGGATGTTTTATGGTTGATGAAATGTTCTAAAATTGATTGTGCTGATGGTTGCACAACTCTGTGAATACACTAAAAAAAAAAACTGATTTGTACATTTTAAATGGGTAAATTGTATGATATAGGAATTATATCTTAATAATGCTGTTTAAAAAAAAGACAATCCATGGGAACTAGTTGGGGCACTTTTGAATATTTGTAAGTTATAGATAACAAAAATGTGTCGATTATTTTCTACTTGTTAAAATATGTTCAGAAATTTTGTTTCCTAACAAAAGAAAGCACAGGATACCACTGGACACCCACTGAAGTGGCTAAAATTAAAAAGTGACACAGATGTAGAGTAACAGGAATTCTTATATATTGTTAATGTGATTGCAAAATGATACAGCATCTTTGAGAAACAGTTTGGCATATCATAAGAAGTTAGGCATACGCTTGCAGTGTGACCCAGAAAGTTTGCTCCAGGCATTGACCCAAGACAAATAAAACCTATGTTTGCACAAAGACATGAAGTTGAATATTCATAGCAGAATTATTCATAATAGCTGAAAACTGAAAACAATCTAAGTATCAACTAGTGAATAAACAGGTATGATAGATCTATACAGTGGAATACTACTCGGCAATAAAAAGAAATGGCCAATATAAGCATAAAACATTTTGCTAAGTGACAAGACTGCATATTATATAATTCTACTTATATGAAATTCTAGAAAAGACACAACTATCATGACAAATTGGATCAGTAGTTTCAGGGTCAGTGGAGATAACTGACTACAGAAATGGGCACAAGGGAACTTCTTGGGGTGTTGGGAATATTTTATATCTTGATAACGGTCATAACCCAAATTACGTCTTTACCTTATTTAAAACAGCTCTCCATTGTCCACAGAATTAAGTTTTACCTACTTCATATGGCATAAAAATTGTTTATGATGTTATTACTGCCTACTCTTGACAATTTATAAGTTTATGCTTCCACCTCACTCTTCTGTCAATCAAATCAACTTTTAGATGCAAGAATGTGCTAAACTAGAAGTTCCGTGTTTAGAAAATAAGGCTTCTTGAGACTTCCTTGTTCACCATTAATTGCAGTGTGTCCTTAGAATCTTTTTTGAGTTATCTGGGGAGAGGCCTCCACGGTCCTTCTACACATTTGAGCTCACATAATTCCATCATGAAATGTACAAAATCTGAGAGCTTTTAGGTCTTCTTTTAATATGTAACTCCCAATGTTAGACTGTAAATTCCTTGATAAAATAACTTTCTCTTTGAATCCCTGGAGAATATTTATTCACGGAATATATCCTGTCTTTTAATTAGTTTCCCCAGGACTTTTAATTCTGAAGATCAGCTCATCAGTTCTGACGCCTGTTTGAACCAACTCCTGTCTAAAGGAAAAAAACCTCTCTAATCCAAAAATCCTTGCCAAGCTCATACTACACAGTCTCCCACAGACATTACCCTTAAATAGTCTGAATTCCTGACCCAGATATACATGGGCTATAAGAAAATGACTGTTTTAAGGCACTAAGTTTTGGTTACTTTGTTATGCAGCAATAGGAAGCTGAAACTCCTGGTAGTAGATACATTTTCCTACCATGTTGGAAAATCACTTAGCACTATATACTAAAGGTGACTTAAGCATGTTCTATCACTTATCGTTTTCACTCCTAAGTACATATGCAAGAGAAATGTGCACACATGTACCAAAAGACACGAACATGCAGGTTTTTAACATTAGTTGAAACAGCCAAAAAGTGAAGACAATTCAAATGTCTAACAATAGAAGGAAGAGTGGATAAAGTGTGTTATAATCATAAAATAGACTCATACAACAACAAAAATGGACAAACTGCAGCTGTACACATCAATATGGATCTTGCAAGTGTACTATGAAGGGAATGAAGCCAAACATACTGAAATGCATACTGTACGACAGCATAAAATCAGGTAACGTTCTATGTGCACTTGAGAAGAATGTGTATGTGTATGTGTGTGTGTTGTTCGGTGGGGTGTTCTATAGATGGTGCTAAGTCTAATTGGTTTATAGAGTTCTAACTTTCTATGTCCTTGTTGATATGCTGTCTAGTGGTTCTACCAATTATTGAGAGTTCAGTATTAAAGTCGTCAACTATTATTGTTGAATTGTCTGTTTCTCCCTCTAGTTGTCAGTTTCTGTTTCAAGTATTTTGGGGCTCTGTTTCTTAGGTGCACATATATATTTACAATTTATAATTTATAATTATGTCTTCTTGATGGATGGACCCTTCTATGATTATTAAATATGGGCCATACTTTTCTGTTTCTTTGCATGTCTCATTTTTTTGTTGAATACTGGATATTTAAAATAATATCATGTGGCAACTCTGGAAATCAGATTCCCCTCCCATTCCAGAGTTTGCTGTTGTTGCTATTTTCTTTTTCAGTGACTTCCTGAACGAATTCTGTAAAGTCTCAATTCTTTATTGTATGTGACCACTGAAGTCTCTGCCCAGTTAGCTGAGTGGTCAGCTAACGACTGGACAGAGATTTCCTTAAATGCTTTGCACCCAGTTCTCCGTTCTGGTAGCTTACTTCTGTTCCTCCATTATCCAAGATTGTTGTGTTTATATGACCTTAATTGAATTTTTGGGAGTAATAGAGGGAGCAGAGAATAGCTAAGACCAGCCAACAACCTAATATTCAATATGAGATATTGGTATTTTTATAAATCCTTAGCCTTCCCTGCCACTAGGTATTTCTCATTGGCTAATTTCTCTGGATTCCTTTTAGTTCTCAAGATTTCTGGGCTCTCTCCTCCTCTCTTCCTGATACTCTCTCCACTCTCCGTTCTCCCAATGTTCCAACCCCTTCTGGAGAAGCCAGGATTGAATTTTAAAATTCTGGAACTTCATCATTAAATAGAATAAGCTAGTTATCTTTATCATAATCTTTTTTTTATTGGAACGATCTCAGGACCTGCTTTCACAATAAAGCAGACTGCTTGAGGTGTATTTCTAAATATGAGAGCCACATAACCAAGAGATGAGATAATTATACTACTCTTCTGAAAGGGGAAGTGGCTGAGGTCAGTTTCGTTATCAAACAGCATTTTTTCCTTTAAGCTATTTTGTTTGGTTTTGTGAGAAATCATTCTGAAGGCCTCCTTCATTTCTACCATTGTTTATGAAAACATCTCCTGCTTCACTTTTGAAGGTTTCATTTTAATATAGCAGTTTTTCATTTTACCAGAAAAGAATTATTTTTGTGTTGATCAAAATAACATGTTTAAAGATGGACTCTAGATTTGGCATCAGGATTCATTTAGTTTATTGGTTATGGCACTGCTGTTATTAAAATTTTATTGGTCCCTTCATGTCAATTCTGCACGGTTCTTGTTAGAGTTGTTCTAAGATAGCTCAAAGTTTTAATATAACTGATAACGAAATCCTTTTCTGGTCACTGTATCTTCCAACTGGCTTCAAGAAAATTATTGATTTTTAAAATTTATCTTTTATTAGGCTACTTTACTAGACTGTTTCTGGGGAACAGTTTTAATTGATTTGTTTTTAGATATAAAATCATATCGTTTGCAAGAGATAATTTTATCTCCTTTTCTCCAATATCAATGCCTATTATTTCTAGTTAATATTTTATTGTGAATTTTCTAGCAAAATTCTTGTTGCCTTGTGACAGGTGAGATTATTGTGAGCACTGACCTTTAGGAAAATAAAATTTCAAGATTAATATTATTAAAACTGTTAAGCCATGAACTCTGTGATGTTTCCTGTGTTTTATAATCAAACAAGCCTATTGGGTACAGTGGGTTTAACTATTTCAAGCTCATCATGAATGGGCCACTCTTGCCCATTATCCCCAAAATGTCATCCTACAACTTATTTAGTTCTATTGCTAATTTTTTTTTCCTTCTTCTCCCAAAGCCCCCCAGTACATAGTTGTATATTCTAGTCGTAGGTCCTCCTGGCTCTGCTACGTAGGACGCTGCCTCAGCACGGTCTGATGAGAAGTGCTAACTCCGCGCCTAGGACCCAAACCTACCAAACCCTGAGTTGCAGAAGCGGAGAGCCCAAACTTAACCACTCAGCCACGGTGGGGGGGCGGCCCGTATTGTTAATTCTTATATTATTCAATCTAGTTGTTACTTCTCTTCTTTACCTAAGAAAGAAAAAGTCTGCTTACTCGTGTGGTATGACCAAATTCTCCTGATGGTCCTCCAGCTGAAGCGTCCATTTACCCTTGGTGATCCAGAGAAAGTGAACTGCCAAAAGGACCCAGCAAAGGCATGGGAACCGCATACCTTGCAAAGAGAACGTGGTAATAGATGTATCTGCTCTCCATGCACAACTTTTTATTTCATTTTTCCGGCGGGATCTGGTTTATTCCGCCTTGGGAGGGTGGTCCTCAGAGTGCCGGGCACCACCCTTGCCCGGTCGGAGAGAGGGCCCATTAAGGCCGGTGGTGGGAGAAATGGGGTGGGGGTGAGGGTACGCAGCAACTGCAAGGCAGCGAGGCCAGGCCGCTCTGGTAGGCCTGGCGGGTGCCCCTGCTGCCCAGGGTGGAAGGCACGGGGCTGGGACCCGTCCTGGCTACAGGGCTGTGAACCCAGTCCACACAGGCACCGCGGGCAGCGGGGCACAGGGTCACAGGGCACGGAACATGAAATACAGACACATGGCTCATGACTAAGCACAGGGACAGCGGGCACAGATTCACAGGCCAGAGGGACACCCAGCCTTAGCCGGACACATGGACACAACGGTGGTGTCATTCAGACCATAGGGGACACATGGCACTATGGGACACGTGGCCTTAATGGCCACAGGGGACAGACGAGGCCACGCAGTGCGGGGGTCGGGGAAAGGGAGGACTGCTCAGGAATGGCGGCGAGAGGGGCTTCGGCGCCCGACTGGAGGCGCCTGGGGACAGCCCCGACGCAGAAACCTTGGGGGCTCAGTCCGTCCTCCACTTTGTTGAGCAGCTTCACCACCTCATCGTGGATGATGAACACGATGGCCACGTCCACGGAGACCCGGCCCAGGGAGGGGCAGTGCCCTAGTAGGACGCCTTGAACTCCTCATTCCTCTGGACCTGCGAGCAGCCGTCCAAACGCCCCAATGTCTGCGCGCCTCCAGGCCCTGCATCCGGGTCTCCATCACGGCCACAGGCGTGTTCCCGAAGCTGCGCTCGCGATAGCTCCGAATCCCGCGTGAACAGCAGTTTCAAGGGCTTGGTGGGGTTGGGCGCGCGGTACCGGCTGCGCTCGAGGAAGCGGATTGCCTGGCTGCATCTCTGCTTCGGCACGGTGGCCGTGAGGCTCTGATACGTCTCCTTCAGCCCTTGTTCCCGCAGTCCCCTTGACCCCGTGAAGAATCCTCTGTCTTTTGGGTTAAGGGAGGTCTGGTCGTGGATGAACTTCGCCTTGGTGGTGTCCATGGGGCGCTCGACCACCAGGCCGTCTGCCACGCCGGCGCCCGTGCCGCACGGCAGCCCGCGCGTGCTGTCCAGCCATCGTTGGGCGTCCGGCTCGTGGTTGCTGAGGAACATCCCGAACCCGACGGCCGCCCTGGGGCTGGAGCCTAAGGCCTCGGTACAGGCCTGGATGCCAGGGCTGCGGACCGTCTGCGGCACGCAATCCTGATGCTTGGTTCCGCGGAGGGTGCGAGCGCTCGTCCCTCTGCGGCTGCGTCTTCACGTCCTCGGTGGCGAAAGTGATGCAAATTGCGATGCTGCCTGCGGGGACCGCGACCCGGGTCTTGAGACCCCCGGCCGCCCCCCCGGACTTTGCCCCGCGTCTGTGCCGCGGGGAGGCTGGCCGGGTCCCCATGCGTCGCCGTATTGTCCTGGCGAGGCGCGGAGGGGCGACGTGCCGGGCGAGTCCCTCCAGAGTGAACTTTTTAAAGAACGTATCGTTTATGATCTGTTTGAGGGTAGTTTGGAGAGATCTTGCCCTTTCAACACTAAATACTTCAATGTTTAAGAACAAGGACATCCTCTTACGTCACCACAGTGCAATTATGAAGATCAGGAAATTTAACTCTGATACAATGCTATTATTTAATCCACAGCCCATATTCAGATTTTGTCTACTGTCCTAATAATGTCCTTTAGAGAGAATTCTTTCCTTGTCCACTATTCAGTGCTGGGTCATGCATTGCATTTAGTTTTCTTGTCTCTAATCACCTGGAACGTTTCCTTAGCCTTTTTGTTTGTATCCTGACCTTGACATTTTTGAAAAGTATAGACCGGTTATTTTGCAGAATATCCTTCAGCTTGATTTTGTCTGGTTTTTCCTCTTGGTTAGATTCAGGTTATGTATATTCGACAGGAATACTAAAGAAGTGGTATTATGTCCTCAGTGCGTCATATCAGAAGGCACCTGGAGTCAATTTGTCCCGTCGTTGGTGATGTTAAGGTGGTTATCCTCCAGGTCTCCCAGATGTAGAGCTATTACTATGTTTTTAAAAAAATTAATATGTAGTTTGTGGTGAGATACTTTGACACCATGTAAATAGCCTGTTTCTCATCCAACTTTTACCTATGACAACTATGATACTTACATTTACCTACTATAATATTTTACCTATGATAATCTGTTACCATAGCAACTTTAACCTTGTTTGATGATTTTCTAACCCAATCATATTTATTTTTTGGCATCCTACTGTAAGAAAGAGCTTTCCTTCTTCCCTCCCTCCCTTCCTTCCTTCCTTTCTTCCTTTCAAAAGAACTCATGCATTCTTGTTTTATTCTATGGGTTATAGTTCATTTTTACCATTATTTATTTTGATGCTCAAAATAATCTGTCCCAGATTTGGCTAATGGGAACCTAATCCACTGTGCTTCTATGGCCTTTTGAAATATCCTAATCATTTTCTGCATGCTTCCTTACATTCTAGTGCGATGAGGTGCTCCAAGCTAATCTTGTTCTTTTCCTGCTCCAGACTTTTTAATAGCCATTTCTCCAAGGAACTATGTTTCCTTTTAGTTGAGAATTGTATTTAGAAACCAAGATCTGGGCGGGAAGTGTGTCCATTGCTACTGAGGGTTCATTGCCCTCGCAGTATGTGTATATTGAATAAAATTTCTGATCACTTGTTGGGACAAGTGGCTTAAAGAGTAAACTTTTTTTTTGACTTCTGGAACATTTGATTTTTGATTTTTTTTATTGAGGTCATAATAATTTATAGCATTGTAAAATTTCTGTCGTACATTGTTATTTGTCTGTCACCATATATATGTGCCCCTTTACCCCTTATGCCCATCCCCTAACCCCTTCCCTTCTGGTAACTACTAGTCTAATCTGTTTGTCCTTGTCTTTGTTTATCTTCCACATATGAGTGAAATCATACAATGTTTGTCTTTGTCTGTCTGGCTTATCCCGCTTAACATAATACCCTAAAGTTCCATTCATGTTGTTGCAAATGGGACGATTTTGTCTTTTTGAATGGCTGAGTAGTATTCCATTATATATGTGTATATATATATATATATATATATATACACACACACACACACACACATACACACACACACCACATCTTCTTTATCCATTCATCAGTTGATGGGCACTTGTGTTGCTTCCACATCTTGGCTATTGTGAATAATGCTGCAGTGAACATAGGGGTGCATAAATCTCTTTGAATTGTTGATTTCAAGTTCTTTGGATAGTTACTGACTAGTGGAATAGCTGGGTCATATGGTATTTCAATTTTTAATATTTTGAGAAATCTCCATACTGTTTTCCATAGTGGCTGCACCAGTTTGCATCCCCACCAGCAGTGTATGAGGGTTCCCTTTTCTCCACATCTCTCTAACACTTGTTATTTTTTTTGTCTTGGTGATTATAGCCATTCTAACGGGTATAAGGTAACAACTCAGTGTAGTTTTGATTTACATTTTCCTGATGATTGGTGATGTTAAAGATCTTTTCATGTGCCTGTTGGCCGTCTGTATATCTTCTTTGGAAAAATGTCTGTTCATATCCTCTGCCCTTTTTTTTTGGTGAGGAAGATGGTCCCTGAGCTAAATCTGTTACCAGTCTTTCTCTTTTTGCTTGAGGAAGATGGTCCCTGAGCTAACATCTGTGCCAGTCTTCCTCTATTTTGTATATAGGATTCCACCACAGCATGGCTTAATGAGTGGTGCATAGGTCGGTGCCCGGGATCCAAACCTGTGAACCTCGGGCTGCTGAAGCAGAACATGTGAACTTAACCACCACGCCACTGGGCCAGCCCGCCTCTGCTCATTTTTTGATTGTGTTGTTTTTATTTTCGTTGTTGATGAGTTGTTTGAGTTCTTTATATATTTTGGAGATTAACCCCGTTTCAGATATATGATTTGCAAATATTTTCTCCCAGTTGGTAGGTTGTCTTTTTGTTTTCTTCCTTGTTTCCTTTGCCTTGCAGAAGCTCTTTTTTTCTTCTTATTCTTCTTCTCCCCAAAGCCCCCAAGCATGTAGTTGTATATATTCTCGTTGTAGGTCCTTCTGGTTGTGCTATGTTGGATGCTGCCTCAGTGTGGCTTAATGAGTGGTGCTAGGTCTGCACCCAGGATCTGAACCAATGAAACCCTGGGCTGCTGATGCAGAGCATGCGAACTTAAGCACTTGGCCATGGGGCTGGCCCTGCAGAGGCTCTTTAGTCTGCTAAAGTCCCATTTGTTTATTTTTTCTTTTGTTTCCCTTGCCTGAGTAGACATGGTATTTGAAAAGATCCTTCTAAGACCAATGTCCAAGAGTATACTGCCTATATTTTCTCCTAAGAGTTTTATGGTTTCACGTCTCACCTTCAAGTCTTTAATCTGTTTTGAGTTAGTTCATTTTTGTGTACGGTGAAAGATAATGGTCTACTTTCATTCTTTTGCATGTGGCTGTCCAGTTTTCCCAACATCGTTTATTGAAGAGACTTTCCTTTCTCCATTGTATGTTCTTGGCTCCTTTGTCGAAGATTAGCTGTCCATAGATGTGTAGTTTTATTTCTGGGCTTTCAGTTCTGTTCCATTGATCTGTGTGTCTGTTTTGATGCCAGTACTATGCTGTTTTGATCACTATAGCTTTGTAGTATATTTTGAAGCCAGGGATTGTGATGCCTCCATCTTTGTTCTTTTTCCTCAAGATTGCTTTAGCTATTCGGGGTGTTTTGTTGCCCCATATGAATTTTAGGATTCTTTGTTCTGTTTCCATGAAGAATATCATTGGGATTCTGATTGAGATTGCATCGAATCTGTATGTTGCTTTAGGTAATATGGACATTTGAACTATGTTTATTCTTCCAACCTGTGTGCATGGAATATCTTTCCTTTTCTTTATGTCATCATCAGTTTCTTTCAATAACGTCTTATAGTTTTCATTGTACAGGTCTTTCACCTCCTTCGTTAAATTTATTCCTAGATATTTTATTCTTTTTGTTGTGGTTGTAAATGGGATTGTATTCTTGAGTTCTCTCTCTGTGAGTTTGTTATTAGAGTATAGAAATGCAACTGATTTTTGTAAGTTGATTTTGTACCCTGCAACTTTGCTGTAGTTGTTGATTATTTCTAATAGTTTTCTGATGGATTCTTTAGGGTTTTCTATATATAAAATCATGTCATCTGCAAACAGCAAGAGTTTCACTTCTTCCTTGCCAATTTAGATTCCTTTTATTCCTTTCTCTTGCCGAATTGCTCTGGCCAAAGCCTCCAGCACTATGTTGAATAAGAGTGGTGCGAGTGGGCACCCTTGTCTTATTCCTGTTCTCAGAGGGATGGCGCTCAGTTTTTCCCTAATGAGTGTGATGTTGGCTGGGGGTTTGTTGTATAGGGCCTTTATTATGTTGAGGTACTTTCCTTCTATCCCCATTTTATTGAGAGTTTTTTTTTTTATCATAAATGGATATTGGATTTTGTCAAATGCTTTAAAGAGTAAACTTTTTCCCCTTAATCTTTGAAAACTAGGGAGTAGTAGTTTCACAAATGAAAAAATACGTATCCTAGAATTCTAGGGATACCTTTTCTCTATATACTGTTAAGTGTTCTACCTGTAATCATTCAAGAAAAAAAATCTTGATATAGCTAGGATGGATAGGGAGGAAGAGAAGACTTTGTTTTTATGTAATTCATTGAAGTTATTTGGGGCAACTGTGGTTCACTCTCCGTCTCAATTTTTAAAAGTTTAATATAATTGGATCTTTGGGACATTATCCCTGAAGGATCTGAAGTTTCAAACCTCTGTGTGTATTGTAGCTGCTAAACTTTAAATTGTTTAGGGATGACAGCTATTCCCCCAAACAACAGATGATTTAAATTTACATAGCATTTCATTGACTATCCTTTGGCATTTTTAGTTATGGGGGTAACAGTCAATACTTTGGAAAGAAATGAATTGCAATGTGGATTTTTATGTAATACATTTAACATTTTTAACATGGATGCATTTATTCTTTCCTGCACATAGCTAACTTTATGAAGTACGTCATGAAACAGTATTTTATTTGGAGTTGGTGACAAGGGAGTTCAGGTGAGAGGACCAATTTTTCTTGGCTACTATTTTTATGGGATAGAAAATATCAAGTCCCAGGCAACTGGGCTGATTTTTCATTCTAAAAAAATTGTGTTTTCTTTGGTAGTTTTAAGAGTAGGTCAAGAGATATTGTTTCCTTAAAGTAATCTGCTACAATGATATCATAAATTTTTTGTAGAGAATTTGTTAAATATAAAATCTGGCAGAGAAATCCCTGAGAAATAATCCGTTAAGTAATAAATGGATAGGAACTAACTACTGTGATATAGAAAAATGCAGCTCTTAGGAAGAAAAGCAAAAACTGTGTATGCTCAGGTACCACAGAGGGAAGTAATACTGACAAGTGTTCCCTGGAATACTAAGAGAGTATTCAGCGTTACTGATAACGTTTGGACCTACAATGTGAGCTGCTTTGGGAGTGATGATTAACAGTAAAAAATGAAAGGACTCGCTAATAGGCCAGATGCGAGATAGAGTAGGGAAGTCAAAGATAATAAGGTAATATAATGAAAACTATTGAAAACTATTATGCCCCTGTTATAGAGGCATGATATGAGATATTGCCCATAGCGTAATTATTTTCACCATCACCATCTGTGCTAGCTTTTTAAATATGGAGAACTGGGAGACAAATGATAACATTGACTGAAATTGAGAAAAACTGGGAAAGAACACCAATGATGAGAAAGTGAAGACTGAAATATTGGGAGATAAACCATATAATTGAGGAATTTGCCTGTGAAATAAAGAGCAAATATAGGATCGCAGTTTGCATATGTAGTGAGACAATGAAGGGAATTTTTAAGAACAAGTATATTTGAAAATAGAAAGGAAAGAACTAGTGGGGAAAGGAAAAATGTTGAAGGTGATAAAGAGCAATGTCAGTGCAGAAGCAAGGTAAGTTTTGTAATTTTTTGGTTAATAATGTGAAATGTAAAAAAATAAAACCTGAAGTGTCTTGTTTATAATTAGATGATCTATAATCTTCTTTTCAAAGAGATTTTTAAGATAATTTTAAAAGGGAGTTTAATTTCTGCGTTTCCTGGATCTTCATGGGTTTTCGTGTATAATAAGAGTATTGCCTGGGTATAGTTTTTAGAACTATTTACATACTGGCAGAGGTATGAGTCTCAGTAATGAATGAAACTGAACAATGGATACATCAGTGTTTAAATGGGGTGGGTTCTTTTGTGTGAGTTGTAAACTGACTCTTAAATCTAATCAGAATGGGTAGCTACAGTGCTTCACAGAATGTCATCATTTTTGAAACAAGTATATGGACCGCCATGCTGTTAGCTGCATAGCACAGAGTTCATTTAGACCCAGAACTTCATAGGTGTTCGTTTAAAATTTATTTATTTGTTTGGCTCAACATTCCTCTTCTTCTTCCAATGAAAATCATTACTGGTTTTATTGAGTTTTATGGACAAATGTGCTTTCTTTTCCTCACTTATCTGGCTTTCTTTTCTCATTTGTGCTCAGTGACATATTCGGCCTTCATACATATTTTTCGTCTTTCAGTATTTTCAAATCTTTACTGAAAACCTACTGTGGGCCAAGTATAGGATTATGGGCTGATATTCACGTATTAAATATGTTTATTCTTGTTCCTAAATGAATTATTTTCTAAATTTTATTGTGGAAGAATCAACTGTTTTTTTGCCCCTTTAGATCAATAGATACACTATGCTGTGATTTCTTGTGGTAAAATTGTGTTTATGATAGTGAAAGTAAGTTTGAAAGCGTTTTCCTAGCTAAATGAACAGTGTACTTTATCCATCTCTTTCTGTCCTCAGATGAAATGAAGAGAATAAGGCTAGAATCACTACAGGTGAGTGGAAGGAAATGCAAGGAGAAAACCTCACCATCTGGAGCCTTTTTTTCCTGGAGGGTTTTTCGAGATACCCAGAGTTAGAGATCGTTCTCTTTGTCTTCAGCCTTGTAATGTATCTGATAACCCTCCTGGGCAACAGCACTCTTATTTTAATCGCTGTCCTAGATTCATGCCTTCAAAGCCCCATGTACTTGTTCCTGGGGAATCTCTCTTTCATGGATATTTGTTACACATCTGCTTCTATTCCCACTTTGCTGGTGAACCTGCTGTCATGCCAGAAAACCATTATCTTTTCTGGGTGTGCTGTACAGATGTATGTGTCCCTTGCCATGGGCTCCACGGAGTGTGTGCTCCTGGCTGTCATGGCGTATGACCGTTATGTCGCCATTTGCAACCCGCTGAGATACCCCATCGTCATGAACAGGCAGGTCTGTGTGCAGTTGGCCACTGTCTCCTGGGTGACCGGCTGTCTGACCGCCCTGCTGGAAGCCAGTTTCGCCCTGCAGATACCGCTTTGTGGGAATCTCATCGATCACTTCACATGCGAAATTCTGGCCGTGCTGAAGTTAGCTTGCACAAGTTCACTGCTCATGGACATGGTCATGCTGGTGGTCAGCGTGCTCCTCCTGCCCATTCCACTGCTGTTAATATGCATCTCCTATGTCTTCATCCTTTCTACTGTTCTGAGAATCAGCTCAGCAGAGGGAAGAAACAAGGCTTTTTCTACGTGTGGTGCCCACTTGACCGTAGTGATCTTGTATTATGGGGCTGCCCTCTCCATGTACTTAAAACCTTCTTCATCAAGCTCACAAGAAATAGATAAAGTCATCTCATTGCTTTATGGAGTCCTTACCCCTATGTTGAACCCCATAATTTACAGTTTAAGAAACAAGGAAGTCAAAGATGCTATGAAAAGACTACTGGGCAGAATAACATTGCATCAGACACGTGAAAATCTCTGACTGGGTGCCTGTGGCTTTTCCAGGAGTGCGCTCCTGGCAGAACTTGCCAGAGAAATTCTAGACGATATACTCACCCTCAGAACACTGACTTGAACCTTAGCTCTATAATCACACAGAGTGATTGCCTATGAATAATAGTAGGCTCCAATTTGCATTTAGTAATATTTTCCATCTTTTGTGTTTCGTGGTTGTGAGAAGTTTTGGACTATAGAGTTATTACAAGTTTGCTCCAGAAGGAAACTTGGATAAATTTAGTCAGTGAATGTCGGTGCCAGAAGAAACTTGTATATCCTCTCTGCCTTAAGTCCTTTCTGGAATGAGGCAGGAGCACAAAGAAACAAGAAAAGATCGTCCTTGATTATGCAAGTGAGAAAACAGAAAGGAAAATTAAAAGACTTGCTCAACATCACACAATTGCAGAACCAGAACTGCAACCCTTATCCTTTCCACTTCTTTGCTGGATCTTGTTCTCCCACACTGTGGTGGCTCCCTAACTACCCTTCCTCATCCGGAACTCCTGATTAAAACTGGAGGCTGGCCCGGTGGCCCAGCGGTTAAGTGCGCATGTTCTGCTTCAGCGGCCTGGAGTTCGCCGGTTTGGATCCCGGGTGTGGACATGGCACTGCTTGGCGAGCCATGCTGTGGCAGGCATCCCACATATAAAGTAGAGGAAGATGGGCATGGATGTTAGCTCAGGGCGAGTCTTCCTCAGCAAAAAGAGGAGGATTGGCAGCAGATGTTAGCTCAGGGCTAATCTTCCTCAAAATAAATAAATAAATAAACCCTCCTGACTTCCTGAGTAAGGCATCCAATGCTGACTTGATCTGCTCACCTGCTGATCTTGCTTTTCTAAGCACCCAGAGACTTATGCAAATTGTATCTATCTCTGTGCCGGAATACCACCCATACGCTAATTCAGTCGTTTTTGTGCTTTTATCTTTTTTCTTTGTTTGATGATTGACTTCACAAGGGCAAGGATTCCTATTATTTTGTACATTTTATGTTTATAGCAGTCATTCGGTAAACCAATAAATTAGCTTTAAACTAATCACTTTGTTTCAGAAATAAGTACCACTTGTGAAAATTTTGAAGAAGAAACAAGCATGGGCAATGAGGTATATTGCTTTATAAATATCCAACAATTACAGAGGCAATGTTTTCATTAGTTGTTTTAAATCTTTTATTGTATAAAAATATTCCTTGTTAAAAATGCATATTTTGAGGCTGGCCTCGTGGCTGAGTGGTTAAGTTTGAGCGCTCCACTTTGGCAGTCCGGGGTTCGCTGGTTCATATCCTGGGCGTGGACCTACACACTACTCATCAGGCCATGCTGTGGTGACGTCCCACATAGAAGAACTAGAATGACTTGCAACCAGGGTACACAACTATGTACTGGGTCTTTGGGGAGGAAAAAAAAGAGGAAGATTGGCAACAGATATTAGCTCAGGACCAATCTTCCTCACCAAAAAAAAAAAAAAAAAATCTTAAAAAAATAGCAGATTTTGGGCCTCTACTCCCAGATATTCTGATTCATTAGCTCTGGGGTGGGGTCCTGATAATCTTCATTTATAATAGATCCCCAAGAAATTCTGATAGAGGTTGTGAAATGATCATACTTTGGGAGACGTTGTTTCCAGTGAAAATCTGTCATTCCAAAGGAGAGGTAGGATTAGTTCTCATTTCTCCCTTTTTCCTTTTAATTTTTCTTCCATTCTTTCTGCCTCCATGTGCACCTTCTCACTTGCCCACCTCTACTTCTAGAGTAGGGAAGGATTTTGAGTGGAGAAAGGTTAACCCACTTGACGAATTTCAAAATATGAAAGACCTAAAAAGCTTTAGTATGGGATGTTGAATTCTGGATTATTTAACTCTTACACCATTCCCATGGATCTTGGGCTTCCATTACATGTTCCTGGATGTGTAACCCACTTGTAAAGAGACTTGAAATAACCACATACAAAATTCTGAGCAAGGGGACAAATTTGATGCTAGAGGTTGCTGCCAAGAGATGTTCATAGAAGCTAGGAGTAATTATTTTTCTGCTTAGATACCTTAACCTTCTCAACTCAGTTACCATATTAATTTCCTGGCAATGTCAGAGTCATTTTGAAGTGAAATTTCATAATAGGCTTTTATTAGAGTGGAGCTGAATTTTATGTTAGAGTAGAATGAACTGTCGGCCTCCTGAAATTAGCTATAATATGTGTGGTACTAAATATAAACAGGGATAACCATAGTTATAAAAATAGCTGAAATCTTTACTTCCAAGAGTGAACTATGAGAACTTGAAGACACAGAGACTGAACACTCTCTGTAATTAATATATCAGCTTTGACACAAAGAACTGAGCAAATTGACATGGAGCCAAATGTTCCAGGATACGATATGGACCAGAATGGGACACTGAAACAAATGAGAAATGGCCCAGATGTCAGAGAAGGCCCCAGGATGGGACCCAGGCAGGTATCCCCCTAGCAACTCTTGGCAAAGAGATTAGGAGGTACAGTAGTTACAGCCATGTTATGTAAAGTTGCTGTGAGTAACAAATAACAAGCAAATATAAATAGAAATGCATTTTATATATTATTCAACACTAAATTATTGGTAAATGATATATTCTTTCATTTGGATTAGATTCCATTTCAACCAATACTAATTACAGTCATTACTTTTATAGCCTCAGGTAAGGGATCCTTTTTAAGTATTGTTGAAAAGAGGAATATATTTGACAGAGAAGATAAAACCACCTCTTGACAGCCAATTCCTGAAAGAATGATTACACAATCAGATTTATGCTTTAGAAAAATCTGATCATATCATTTCCCTACTTAAATCCCTTAACAGCTTTTTATTACTCTAAAGCTTGAAGTCCCTAAAATGACATGCAAGGACTTTCATAATCTGGTTACTCACCATTTACATCCTTTGCTCTAGGCATACAAAATTCCTTTTAGTTCCACGGAAGCGTGCTCTGTCTTGCTTCTTTTATTAAGAGCATTTACCACAATTTGTAATTTGATAATAATTTGTGGGTTTACTTGTTTAATGTCTCTCTCAATAGTCTGTAGGTTCGTTGAGGCAAGGACAATATCACTTTCATTTTCCACTGTTCCCCAGGGCTTAGCACAAGTTCTGGCACAGAGAAGACATTCAGTGCATACTTTTTTGTGAAGCACCAAGTGCTCAATGAACATCTGTTGAATGAAAATATGCATGTAATAAACTTTGGATGACTATCCAATTAGATACTTGACCATTCCTGTGTTGAATACCTCCTTTTGATCGCTGGTGGTGGTGAGGTGGTGGTGGCAGTGGTGAGGATGTCTGTTGAGAATTAAAGAATGTCATCATTAGTTCTTAGCATGGAATCTCTAGGACTAAAGAATTAGGTTAACCACCTTTACTTTTCAACAGAGATGGTATGTTGTTAGATAAGGGAAACGTACTAACAATTATTGTTTCAGGCCTTTGGCGCTATAATTGATACAATTTCTAATGATCAAGATGGAGAAATGTACATAGGATGAAGCCATAATTAGAGTAACTTATAACTGGTTGGATCTAATGCACACTGGAAGAGTGTTCAGAATAGAATGAATGCTTGGTCTGTTCATAGAGGGGATTCAAGTATCATATGAGTGGTTGGGCCACATGTCCTTTACAGCTCGATTCCTTATTTAAAAAATAGTAATTATAGCAGGCTTTTAGCACTCCTTCGTTTTCATGGATGTTAATAGATAGAACTTTTAGGCATCTCTGAATGATCTAAATTTAGAACCTATATTAATGGATACATGGGGAAAAATATAAGTGTTACTAGGGGGTAAGACATCTGGACATGAACAGTAGCTTGTGGGCTGACTTGGGGTTATACAGTCCTTCCTCCCGCCTGCCTTGTTTGTGAGAAGGCACCACCAAAATGTGAAGTAATTATTGGGCTGGTAAGTGAAGGAAAGTAGATGATGTGGGCAGGGGGAGAGAATGTCCCTGTCAGAGGGGCAGCATGTGCAAAGGTCCCCTCACAGAGGAAGCATGACACATGAACCCAAAAGAAGGTCAGTGTGATAGAGGCATGGAGAGCAAAGGGAGAAGTGGCAGGTGATGAGGCTGTAGAGGTAGGCCAAGGCCAGACCTGCAGATCTTTGAAGAGGCTAAGCACATTGAGCAGCTGTTGAAATGGTTTGAGCAAACATTCCCATTAAAAGTCCTCTGGCTACAGTGTGGAGAATTGATTGTAGAAGGTAGGACTGGACACAAAGAGACCAAGTAGAAGAAAACTGCACTGCTCCAGCTGAGTGTTATTGGAAGCTTGGACTAGAGTGGTGGCAGTGGATAAAAAGGGTGATAGGAAAATTTGAGAACTATTTAAAAAGTAGCATTAACAGATTAAGAGGTAAAGTCAACAGGATTAGATATAGCTGGTGAGAGAGATGAAAGTGTCAAGGGTGACTCAGGTGTCCAAGAAGGCTGATAGTGTCATTAACTGACACAGGGAATGCTTGAAGAGGGCCAAATTTGGGGGTTGAAGGGTAAATCAGGAGTTGTATTTTAGACACGCTGAATTTGTCAGGATTTTGAGATATGGAAGTAGAGATATCGTGGAGTGAGTTGAATAGGCTAGTTTGGAATTAATGAGAAAGATAAGCCTAGAGATATAAACTTGTGACACATTTGCATATATGTAATAATTTAAGTTATGAACATGGTTAACCTTAATTAGGGAGAGAATACAGAGTGAGAAAATTGCCTACGGTGAAACTAGAGGAACACTAATATTTAAAACCCGTGAAAAAGGAAAAGCCAACAAAGGGGCTTTGTAAATGAGCAATCCCTCAAGCGGGGAGAGGGCAAAAGCCGGACGACAGAATCCAATTTTGGTCGAGATGAAGTAAGCGCATTCCATCCCGTGTCTCCCACTGAATGCAGTTAACAACTCGAGAGAGAATGCAGAGCAGCTGTTCGAGGACTCTGAAAAATAAATGGTAGCAGGCAAATGCGGGAAGGAAACTGGAACTCAAGGTACCAACGAACTCACGGTGAATTTTCTGCTTTTTTTTTCTTTCCTCCCTCCAGTATCTCTTGTCTTGGACTCAAGGGCAGCCTGAAACCCGAACCTACACGCTGGGTTCAGACAGAAAGATAGAAAGAGCTCCAAGAGAAGCTCCCTATTTATGGTCTGAGAAGAGAGAAATGGGGTCCCTATGCATCAGAAAGAGATGGCAAATTCCCTGATTTTTTCTGTTACCTCTTGACCAAACCCCCAGGCAGTCCTGCGGTGACAGTGGCAGCAGCAGCAGTGGTGCCTGGGCAGGCACCTAAAATCCTTAGGAAAGAGAACACTTCTTCCTGACTAGAGGAACAGCGGTCCCAGGAGCATGGGAGGAGTCCCCATTGCTCTTTTTTTTTTTCCTCTCTATTCTCTCACCGTTTGGTACCTGAGGCAGAGACTTCCAGCTCCCAGAACTGTGAGAAAATAAACTTCTGTTTGAGCCACCCAGTTTGTGGTATTCTGTCCCGGCAGCCCGAGCAGACTGATACGTGGTCCCTTTCTCCGTCTTCAAACCAGCAAAGATGAGTCAAGTCTTTCTCACATTGCATCACTCTGACCAAGCTTCTATCGTCACATCTGTTTCTATAACTCCTT